CCCCAAAACCCCAAAACCCCAAAACCCCGCGATGTCAAATTTTCTGTAGGTCGTTAAATTGAGAAAAAGAAATAAGAATGTTTGAAATTTAAAATTATATAAAACTTGAATAAAATGCTCTCCTTCTTAAAAGATTTGATTACTACTAATCCATTTGTTGAAGAAATAGATCTGGAAAACAAAGGAATAACCTCTCTTGACCCTCATTCAGTAGATCTTTTGGGCAGATTCTCGGAACTTAAGAAAATTAATATTGCAGATAACCACATTAGAAAGCTCCCAAATGATCTCTCTGCAATGTAGTATATTTAGGAATTCAACTTGAATGGTAATCCAATTGATGATATTGAATCAGCAGTTGATTCACTTCAAACTATGCCAAACCTTAAAGTTCTATTCATAAACTTGCATGAGGAAGAGTAAGTTGACTACTTGCTGCGTTCTCTAAATAGTTTGGAGTACTTGAATGGGTTGGCGGTAGAAAGGGATGCTCTTTTTAACGATGAAAATGAAGATGAGCAGGATTAGGAAGGTGCAAGTCCAAGTCAAGATCAAATTCTCAATAATTAAGAGGATCAAACTTAAGAGGATGTAAGCGTTAACAACAACTAATAGCACCCGCATTACTAGTTGCAGGTAGACCACGAGGAAGAGTAATAACCAGATGTTGTAGTGGAAGAAGCATAGGAAGAATATGAATCATCGCAGAGAATACCAGAAAGTGACTTTAAAGATTATTAGCAGCAATAAGAAGAGTACCAAGAAGAAGATGAAAATGAACAGAATTATGAAGAAAATCACGACTATCCACTTCAATCATCTTAGTAAGATTTCTAAGATGAAAATTAATTGCAAACCAATTAGCATTAGCTTCCCTAATCATACTAATCATTGTCTGCATAGTAGTAATAGCTGTAAATGCATCATCAGCAGCAATATCAATAACTATAGCAATAATAACAACTATAGCAATAATAGTAATAACTTCTTCTAAATCAACAATAACAGGAATTTACTAATTCACAAAGTTTCTAATAAAAACACAGTTCTAAGGATTTAAATTCTATCAACGCTCCATTAAACCAAAATTATTTGAGGAAAGATAGCTCCAAATAATTCATCGATCAATAGCCTAAGTAATTTGAGTAATATACTGAGGAAAAAGATTAATTGAACTAAAGTTAGATGACAAATGATGGTGAATTCTAACAATTTGACGATGTCCCTGAAGAGAATGAACTGAGAGCTTAGGATCTTGAAAATATTGCTATTCTCTATGATTAAATTAGAGCTATAAGAAGAAAAATTGAGCATAATATTGATAAGAGACTTGCAGAAGAATTTGATTAACATCTTAAGAACATTATGTATGATCTGAGTGTTAGTCTCTAGGAATTATAAGACGATTAAAGAACAGATAAAGACATTATGAAAAAGAAGATTATTTTGTAAACGAAAAAATCACTCATTGGAATGTGCTTCAGTAAGATGACTGAATATCTTCAAAAAACTGATATAGAAGCTTACTAAATAGTAAGAAATCTTTAAGCCTATGAGAATAGACTTTTTGACTCTTCAATAAGTGTACTTTCTTAAATGTCTTTAATTCTAGAATAAACGAATTAAAGGCAATCTATTTAACCCAAACCTTAAGATTCATTGATCGCAAAAAAGATAGAAGAACATGATAAAATCAAAGACAACATAATAGAGGGTTTGTAAAAAACTGTTCATTCATAAGATGAAGAAATAGCAGCCTTAAAAAGGTAACTATAAATAAAAGATAGCTAGTTGCAAAGAATTTCTTAAGACTATGAAAAAAGTTAGAAAGAGACAGCAGAAATTCTTGAAGCGGCAGAAACTTTGGAAAAAGAGTCAAATAAAAACGCTTAGATAATAGATCAACTTAAAAAGGAGTTGAATGAGTAAAAAGATTACTATGAATAGTAGTAAGTAAGTCTTGAAGAAGAGAATAAGAGGCTTTTAGAAACACTTATTAGGCACTCTAAAACTAAAGCTAGTAATAACTCAACGCCTGTTGGAAGTAACATGGGAATATATCATTCTCAAAACTTCAAAGAGAGTGTACAATAGACTTCTCTCCTTATGAATTAACAGTAATAACCCTAGAATACCACACCTTTCTAAAATATTTCACAGAATCAATTCAACTAACCTCAAAGAAATACATCAAGCTCAGCTTCGCTTTCATCAATGAATAAAAACTTCAATCAAAGTTAGCAGGTTTATACCTCCCAGAATCAATTTACAGCCAACCAATAACACTAAGCTAACCAATTTGTCAGCCAAAACTTTGGAGCAACTTTGAGTCCTACATCTTAACCTTCTACTAATCACAAAATATTACCATTAAAGCAACTAAAAGATATCATAAATGATATCTACTAGCAAAAGATTAAATACGATGTCAAATGTAGAGAATCAAGATTACCTATTGAGACCATGGAGTAATACATGTACACTTACTTGAATTAGAAATATGGCTTAAAATCTTTGATTATTGAATGGGCAAGCACAATTATTCATGGTGTGAGAACTTATCTCAAGGACGATCATGAAGTGACTCTTTTTGGAAAAATACTCAAGAATGAGTGCGATGAAGAATTTAGGTTCATATAAATGCATGTTAAAGACACTTTGGCTAATTTACTAAAAATATTAGTAAGAGAAAAGCATCACCTTAAGAGTGAAGGAGAGATTATTTAAATCTGTGAGTAAATCTAGGTAGGATTTATTGAGGATGTGTATTGGAAGAAAATTATCAATAAGATGTATGATAGTGAAGATGTAAACACTCTCACCAATAGATTCTTAGAAATAATTGATCAAAGAAAGCTTAACAGAAAAGAGAATAACTTTCATTCATCTGTTCCTCTAAGAACATAGGAAAAGTCAAACACCAGAAAGATCAGTAGAGATGAGGAAATAAAGTAAAGAAGGAATGTCAAGCAAGTCAGTAAGTTAATGTATCAGGAGTTTTTGAAGATTATTCTTGACTTCTAGTTACTTGAACATGAGAAATTCTTATCCTGCTTTACATAAATATTCAAGTCAATTGATACAGACAGTAATGGTATCATAGATGAAAATGAATTCAGAGACTTAATCATTAAAATGGGTGTGGTCTAAACAATGGAAGAAGTAGAATAGTTATTATCAATCATTGATCCTCATAATAATAAGCAAATGACTTATAGTGAAATTGTTCAGCTACTCTCAAGTTAGCTTACATAAATAAGTGATGATAACATGAGATAGGTCCCTCTGCTAGAAAAGTTTGTAAATTAGATGCTCATCGCTTAGAATGCTCAAAATGATGATGTTGAAGGAGGTTATTGCTAAGATGGGGCTTAAATCGATTTCTATGGCCAAAATAATATGGATAACTAGCAATGGCAAAGAGATATCGAGCAACATTAACAATATCAACATCAAATGTAAAGGAATCAGCAGCAACTTAATTAAGACCTTGAAATTATGTGATCACTAACTTAATCTTATTATTTGTCTATAAATTAATTTATCTCTTTCAATCTATTTAATAAATAGAGGGGTTTTGGGGTTTTGGGGAGATCGGAAGAGCGTCGT